TTTACGGTTTGCAGGATTTAATCCAAAGTCGTTCCCGTACGCCAAAAATTCTGTAACTGGGAACACTCTCGTGAGAGTAACTGAGCAACTGTTCTCAGAATGAAGTTTCAAGATTTAGTACGGAGTTTTTCTTCGGGAAAATTCAGGAAATTTGTCAAACGATAGGCAGGGTTGCAATTGTATACAAAAACAGAGCGCGGTGAAAGCAAAGAACTTAATATTTGTTAAAAAATCAGCAGCTATTATTAATTGTATAGATTTAATAGTTATTTAGTGATCTTCCAGCCAAATCAGTGTTGTACTAATGACAAGTGAACAAACCAAATGGCGTTATTGCTGGATAGAGTGCATTTTGCGTTCCCGTATACTTCTGCATGTGTTCTCCTGTTACTCTCACTTAAGAGAGTAAAATTGTAGTTTGACAGTTCCACAGGTTTTATTCCGAAGAATACTGGAACAAACTAACCATTCCTTTGTTGACCAGATTTACTGCTAGACTGGTCCTTCATATTAAAACCTCTTTGCATAGATAAAAGAGGTTAGTTACATCAACTAAATAATTAATTTTTTTTTCAATACAAGATTTGTAACCGGAGTATTTTCTCAGTTTGCTTCATACGTATTTTAAAACCGAAATTAACGAACTATTGTACAAATGAATATATGTATTTACATAAAAAATTGGCTGCACAGTAGTGTCATTTCATTTTCTATGGCACACTTCATACGTCATTCGAACGTGCTGCCCCACAGCATGAGCTTAGTAAGCGGAATCAAGCGTTGGGAAATGTTGCGTGTAAATCGGCAGACACGCACCTAGCGTTGAACGCATTGTTGCGGAAAATTATAAGCATTTAGTAACGAAAGCTTGGAGAAAAACAAACATTAAAGTGAACTGTGGCAAATTATCGACAAACGAGCTGACAAATGAAGGCTTATGGAGTAGAGGAGTCGACAAAGTGCAGAGGTGAGTGAACAACAATGGGTAAACAAACAATACTAACTATGTACAATAAGCGAACAAAACAAAAGTACAAGGTAAATAAAGAGAATGCAAACAAAAATACGAATAGTGGACGAATGTTGAAAATAAAAACAAAAACAATGTCAGTCAGTGTGTGCTAGAAGATTGTAATTAAAGACATGGTGCGCTGTAAGCAATTTCGTAATCGATGCGATACTGCCAGCCAGTGCATGAATGTAACGTTGAAAACAGTGTTGCCAACTGAACGTCACCGATAGCAATAGTGTTCAATTAAAATGCAAACCATGCCAGCATAGAAAACGTGTCACTATATCCGCAGTTATCGAAATTGGTGGCCTTTCTTTGTTTTTATACTTCATTTTAATTATAAGTTTCACTTTTATTTGTAGAGTGCATCCGATTTTTTTGTGAATTAAATATTTGACCGTGAAAGCGAATTGATGAAAGTATACATATATTTACTATATACATATGTACGTATGTAATGGTCGAAAAGAAAACTTGAGGGTAATATGCACTGTACATATCGGAAGTTTTTGCTGGGTTAAAGTCCCACATTTACGGTTTTAGGGTTAGGATTTCGATGTCTCAAGAAAGTTGTTCAAAATGAATTCTAATGGAGTATAATTAAACACTAATTAGTCGCACCTAATTTCATAAGGTTATAATATCCGTAAGGTCTTCAATCGAGCTAAAAGGACCTGTGAATGGTAAACGTAAATGAATATTCTCACTGAATACAATAAGAGATGGGAAATGATAAAAATAAACCCATGAACCCAAGGCATACTAATGAATAACTCCCGAAAATCTGCAAGGCAAGAACCTTACTAGCCGAAGTGTGCTTTTCTGGTTTCTTATCACCGAGCACAACTCTAATCATCTACCCGTACTAAATTTCAGATTGGCATTCTGATTGGTGTTCTGTATCTAAGCCTGTCAAAGTCCTGGGGCGGATGATATATTTCCACCTCATCTTCTACTCTTTCTAATGCCCCTATTCAGATGATGCTATAGCTGATATGGAAAAATTCATATCCAGCCATATAAGAGACAGATTTCTTATAATAAATCTTTGGTATGCAAGTCAATATACTTATCTATCGGTTGAACTCTCAACCTCATAACCTGCCTGTACGAAAGGTACTTAAACAGAAACGGCGCTACATGAAATAGAGTCCCACCCGCAAGATCACTACACATCAAAGAATATACAGAAGGTGCCTTTAACAACAGCATGCCTGACGCGATAACGGCAGCGCTGACGGGCCTGGGCATCGACTCGTGCTTGGTTGCGCTTGTAAACCATATGCTTCGATGCAGGGTGGTTCGGGCGGAGCTGGCGGGGGTTTCATTGACAAGGTTCGTAGAAAGGGACACCCCGCATGGGTCGCAACGGTAAACACACTGATGTGTGGCATGGAAGGAGGTGACTGTAAGGTTATCACGTATGCGGATGATTTTGCACTAACATGTGTTAAATTTCCACAGACACAATGTGACATTATGCAGGTAAAACTGAAGGAAGTCGAGAGTTGGGCAAAATATAATGGGTTAGGTGTAAACCCAAGCAAAACAGAACTTGTACTGTTCACAAGAAAGTGTAAAATCCCCCCATAACACTAAGGCTGGCATAGACCACTCTAAAACTAAGTGAATCCGCGAAATATATGGGAGTAGTCCTAGATAAAAAATTACGCTGGATTCAAAACACCGAAGAACGGGTGCGGAAGACCACCGTTGCCCTATATAGCTGTAGGAGAGCAATTGGCCAAAAATAGGGTTTAACTCCGAATGTAGTGCACTGGATATACACCATCGTGCTTAGACCAATACTTCTCTACGGGGTGGTAGTATGGTGGATAGTATTAGAGAAGAAAGTAAACAGTATTAAATTACAAAAAGTGGAAGAAAAACTCTGATCTGCATTAGTGGTGCTCTCCGCACATACCCAGGCAATACGCTGCGAATGCAGCCGTAAGACTACAGGAGTTTAGAAGCTCGAAGGCGGCTCGATGTGGTCACATTTCAATTCTTATCAACCGAAAACTACCGAGCACAACAGACTACTGTGTACCAATGTGCACTTTTACTAAAGGTTATAGCATAACTTTACCTACCAGAGAATCATGGATCGAAGGAGTTTCGAGATCTGAAGATGGCATAAGGTTCTACACGGACGGCTCCAAACTAGAAAACAGGGAATGAGAAGGAAGACGAGCTTGCAAGGGGGGGTACTCCCTCTCCACTTTCACCAGCCTGGAAGAGGATGGGTATGCCACTCGCTTCCTGCAAGTTCTTACTAAGGGAACACTTCCTTGAAGAAGCAGCCACCAGATGGGAACGCACTGAAAACTGTAATTCAACGAAGCTTACATGGCCGAAATGGAATATACGGAGATCGAGAGAAATTTTCACTCTCAATAGCGATATGTCACTGGCCATTGGCCTGCTCACAGGACATATCCTGATAGGAAGACATGCAGAACACCTCGGAGTTAGTCCCAATGACTACTTACTGCAGTAGCTGCCATGACAAAGAAGAGCCTCCTGATTGCGCTTTGCATATGTTACTCTTTTATATTGTATACTTTTAAGCCCTACTGCTTTTCGTTTAGAGAATTTTAGCGACGAAAATTTAGCGTGCCGAAAGTCCAGGGTGTTCGAGTATATGGAACTAAGATCAATATTAAATTTCGCCAATTTGATCGTTTAATTTGGATTAGGGGCGGCGTTTTTAGTTACACTTTCAGACAACCAGGCGTCTATCCCGATCTTCTCCAGTGATCAATGCCCTGTCCGCTTTAACCTCTTTTAGTATTATTCAAGCTTTAGCCGCGAGAAATATGGCAATACAGAAGGAACCTGGTTTTTCTGTGGACATCTAACTGGCCATTAAAGATTATTTATAAACACCGAATCGGTGTGACCACAAAGTCAGTTTGAATCTTCTTGATAATTGTCCGGTCTTGGCCTAGGTTAGGTTATAGTGGTAGATCCCACGAGATACTCACTTAGGCCATAACTAGATTGTCCACTAGCCTACCAAAGATTCTTCTTCTTCTTCTTTGGCTCTGTAACCGCCACAGCGATCTTGGCCGAGTTCAACAAAGCACACCAGTCGCTTCTCTTCTATGCCAACTGACACAAATTGGATATGCCAAGTGAAGCCATGGCTTTTTATTGCAGTGGAGGCCTTCCTTTGCTAAAAAAAAGTGTCCATCCTAAATTCATACGAAAAAGTATCACTTCGAATTCGACTGGATCAAAACGGTTTGATTTTCCATTGTCTTCAATCAATTTGATGCGCATACGTTGTGAAAAAAACAGAAACAGCAATTACTCCTGTTCCACGTAACAACTTATCTGACAGTAAAGCTAATTGTCAGCTGTTAGCAGACAGTATTGTGCGATTCTACAAAAAGTTTGTCATTGTTTGAAAAAAAAACGTAAAATAACAATATTAATCAATATGAACCACTTACAAATTCCAAATTTGTATGGAAGCACTTGGTGAATCATTATTTTGGTGGTTGCAGACTTTAATACATATGTATGTACATTAGGCTGCATCACCAAAAAAAAAGCTGCGGTTTTTCCACCGGAATTATAATGGTTATTATATTTTATGACTTCCGCCAAAATATTTTGGAAAACTATCAAGATTTGTGTGAGCTAGACCGACTTAAACATACATCCGAAAATCTCATTATTTTGATTCCGTATATAAAATTTTGAATCATTTGTATGCAGACTTTTAAGCCTAAAATCTTCTATTATCTGAGATGTCTTTCTAGAAAAAAATATTTTTAAAAACTAATTTTATTTATACAAAACTAGATTTTTGGAGGTATTTACAAATCGGTACAGCTCACGTAAATCTTAATATTTGTTCGAAATATATTGTCCGGCAGTACCGCTTTACTTGTATGGAGAGTGATGCACCCTAATGTACATATGTGTAGGTAAAAACTTACATTAGACCAGAGCATATGTTAAAATCGATGCAGGAAACTTAATCTGAGCATATTTCCGGAAACCAATTATTTTCGACACCCAATAAAACCTGCTAAATAGGTAGTTTGTAATAAGTTTGTATTTAAAAATATATATAAATAATATACCGTTGTTAAGATATTGAAATGTCTTCATATCTTATAGCCATGAAGCTCTTAATTGCAAACAGTAGTTTGAAATTGTTCTCATCAAGAAAAATTCCATGATATGTAACATTTCCTAACATTTACCTTCACAATGGCTTAAATAATACCCGTAAAAGCCGGCTGTCAAATGGAAAAGTTACTGAAGAAATTTAAATTAAATTTTTCAGAATGCTTGGTAAATAATTAGGGGTCTTCATACCGAGCTTGGTAGCCGGTAACTCTTCTTTATATTTCTGAAATACATTCATAGTAGCTGCACAAAATATTTTTGAAAAATTTAATTTTTGGTGATACGGTCTAATGTGCATTTACTGTGAATAAGTATGGGTATTTTCGAATGCTAATTGAAATCTAATCAGCGAACGTTCGAACTGAATATTTAACTGATAAGGTACTCTTGACGACGCCAAAATTTAGTAATTTGTTGTGTCATGCCGGAGGAATTGGAATTTTTGCCTACGTATAAACATTTGATAGGTACAGTTGTCTCCACTTAATTGGACAAGTGAATTTGACAATTTTTTTTTTTATTTAATAATCCGGGGAAACCAGTAAACTTTGGTCTTTTTAATTAAACAGCTAATTCGTAACCGGTTGCTCTTTTAGGTACATAGAGAAACCACTTAAGCGGGACAAAATTAAGCGGAGGCTACTGTAATAGTAAGCTGGGATGTACAGTGCGAAAAAATCTTAAATCAAGAAGGCTTAATATTCCATAATAACCACTTGAGATTTGATTAAAATACATTAATTTGATTAAGATAAGGCAAAGAGAAAAAACTTACCCCATTTCCAATTTGTCCATTATTACGATTGATATCTGTGCCATTGGTTGGGCTTCTGGCGATGCCGTTTGCTCTTCTCAAACTCATTTTGATCGCTTCAACAGCGCTATGATCGATTTTATTTTGATTAATTGCCTGTTTCGGCTCCTCACTGCCGTAGAATGGCTCCACGGTACGCAAAGAAAACGATTGTGAGAGTAGAGTAGTTGATGAATCGTTACGCTTTTTTCTACCGAATAGAGGTGATTTTTTCTTGCTGAGTGCTCCTAAAGCCGCTGCGTCCTCCTGCACTGAGGTATGCTCAACGATCGGTGATAGGTGATCGTCGTTAGTCGCCAATTTCTCCTTTTCCACCTCCACCAGTGTGGTATTGGTCGTAGATGTAGAAATTATATCACTTTGAAAGCGATCGAAACCAAATGATGACACTTTTTTAGTACAATTCACGCATGCGCAGAGTGGTGTGGTAGTTTTCGAGTAGCTAAAACCTAAACTCTCGTCGTTTATTTCCGGTGGTTTGTAAGGAGCCACTGGCGGCAGCTGAGTCGGTCGGTAAGGTGATGAGTTTGCAGACGTAACACCGTTATCAAGGCAAATGCAATCGGTGAATTGAATCGCTGTAGATCGTGGATGAACCGCTACACTGCGAATGATCGCGCTTGCCATGCAACAAAACTGGTTGAGATGTGAATGCGCTCGCAGCTGTTGAGCGAGTGCGTGGGTGTGCGAGCCCAAAATACACTGTAAGTGGGGACGGCAACGAGTGGCGATTTATTTGCACGTGTTAATGCGCACGCAACAGCACAGCAAAGATTGAGCGGGTTACTGATCTTTGGACGGCAGTTATAATCTTCTTACTGTTGATTCACAGTTTGTTTTGATTTTTTTTTGTCCTTTTGTTACTTTTGCTTTCATTAAAATATATATCGCTAGCTTAGAGTGAAAAGTTGCTAAGTCCACTTTTTATGAATACTCATATTTTTATATAGGACACAAGAGAAATTAAAAAGGTATGTATACGAAATCTTTAAAAAAAGATCGAATCCTTTTTATTCGTATAGAGCTTTGGAGCTTTAAACACACAAAATGTTGTATTCAATTTTTGTTCGAAATACTTAAAGAAAATTACTATAAGAAGTTTTTCTTCTCCTGTAAAATTTGTAAAAATGGACTTAGCAACTTTTCACTCTAAGCTAGCGATATGTAATTTCATACCTGAAGTTACTTGGCTACACTTTTTACCACATTGAGAAGTTTTTAATATCAACAATGCGAATTTTGTATTTTTTAATATTTATAATTTTACTAATTATCAGAAATGTTGTTGTTTCAGTGCAATGCGCTAGCAAATTAATCAATTACCCATGCTCTCAAGGTCAAAGCACTTTGTTATCTGTCTTCTGCTGCTTGCTATCACAAATTGTTCACAATACTCGCCATAAATGGCTCCTGTAGCATCAAACATATATACATACATACATATGTAGCTCCCAATTGCATATTGCTATTTGCGTTAATGGTTCTCTTAAAATGTGCTTAAGAATCTGTAATTTCTGGAAAAAATTTATATTTTTTTTTTAATAGCAAAGCGATTGCGATATCAAAACTTTTAATGATACTTGGGCACTCATCACCGATTTATTTCTTTTCAACAAAAAGCAAATCACATGAATACATATGTATGTATATATGTACATTATGGTGCATCACGCTTACAAAAAAAAAATCTGTACTGTTTTTCCATCGGAATTATATAATATATTTTAAGACCTACGCCAAAATATTTTTGAAAAATGTTAATATTTACGTGGGCTGGATCCATTTGAAAACAAATCACAAACGTTTTTTATAAATAAAATTAGTATTTGGAAATATATTTCTAAAAAAAGTACCAAACTACTTAACTTGAAGGAAAATTTTGAGATCGTTTCGCATACACCACGGTCGTAAAACCTATGGTGACTTTTTATTGCAGTAGCCTAGGTTTTAAGAATTGACTTAGTGATGATGAGACCACCACTCGCCAGTGATCAACGCCGTTGGAGGGTATGATTCTTAATTTTACCCTGCTTAACTTAACTCAAAAACAGATAGCCAAGCACTACTTGCTAACCGTTAAGAGGGTTCTAGAAAAATAGAAGTACATAATATCATCGCGAGACATAGCAAGGCTTTTAGCTTAAATACCGCTGACCAAACTGAAGGGATGGCAGCAATAGGGTTATGCGTTTGGAAAAAGGAAATGAGGAAGGCCAAAGAGAGTCATGATGTTGCTATAAGAATGCAAAGAAGCTCCTTAGTTCTTATCGCCTTTTGTTTTCCACTGGATCTTCATAGCAGTTGTCAGGCCGTTACTGGAAGCACTGCGCCCAACCAACCAACCAACAAGGTATCTAAAACTAATTTGCCAATTGGTCTACTTACAGGCCTCTAACTGGTGCTTGCAGGGGTGAGAGGTGCAATATTAGAAAAAGTAAAAGTTTTGGAAAAATGTATAATCATTCTAAAAACTTACACTAAGCCAGAAGAGAAAAAATCATTTTCACATAAATTGCTGTTGAAATCGGCAGTAAGTGTTGTTTTCTGGAGTATGTTTCGAAATTTATCTGGCCTTCAAAGGCATTTTTTAATAAAATCAGATAAATTTTACAATCCTCTTAACTCTGCTTAGCTTAATAGTTGTAAATTTTGGTAATTCTGCTGATGATTTCCCTGAGTGTAGCTTTATTTTATATTTACTGTGTGAGACGTATGTATCATTATCCTAAATGTCCCAAGGTGCTAGGACCCATGCGAGGCTAATTTTAATTGGTCAGAAGTTGGGGTCAATTTTCTCGATAACCTTCGACTAGTGAAGTAGAGGAAGTGGTCGAAATTTCAGGCTTGCTAAATTTAAAACACTTCAGTCTGGAAAACGCTTGTGTGGTCCGGTAAGCAAAATGATAGCTTCAAACCAGTAGTAATCTGTGGCTTGGAAGTTTTGTTAAAGACATAAGGTGGGTCTAGATGTTAGGTAAAGGCAGCACTCTTCTATTACCGGAGGGTCTATTTAGCATGGCATTGTGCGTGAATGACCATTCTTTCCAGTGCCCTAAAGCAATTTTATTGCACAGCTAGGATCATAAAAAAGTACCTATGTGATTGCACTCGTTACGTCAACAACAACTGACCTCTAAATTTCACTGAGATTTTTAACGACGCAATCCTAGTAAGAGCTGACCACAAGACCGTCGGTCCGGGGGAAATACGGATCGGACTAAAGCTGTATGCATACATTTCTTAGCTTCAATCCTCTTCTATTGCTTAGCATTATTTTAGCTGTGAGTCGTTATATCTTCCACCAAAGCTATCGTTAATGCTTAACACACAATTTTCAATTAGAGATTCAGCCAATCAAGTCAATTGTTTTATAGTTTGGGCCAAATTCAGAGTGCGTAGTAAACTCAGAATCGGCAGTTAACTACAGATTTGTGTACTAAAAATGTCGTTTAAAGTTATTCTGCGTTAACTACGCACTGTGGATTGGGCCCTTAATCTTTCAAACGTCTTTTACTTTGCCTATGGCTTACAAAGCAAAAAATTGTTATTGATTCCTTTCACTAAACACGTTCACCTTTTGGCTTGCCTTTATTCCAAAAATAAACGTAGTAAAAAAACTGAAGAACTATGTTGAAAACAGTTGTCTGCAGCATAAGAATATCTCTTAACTCTTATATTTTATTTGAAGTTAGAACCTTGTTTTAAGTGAAGTTGGCTATAGTTTTCGGTATGTATGTTTATATGTATATTTGAATTTTCGAGAATAAGTATGTACTTCAGTGTCGCCAAATGCTGATAATCTGAATCTTTCATGAAGACCAACTTCCACAGAGTTTACTGAACCGCTATGCATGTGGATATAGATATGTATATGCATAACTACGTACATATATGCATATGCTTTCCTTGTTTTTGTAGGCTATGCAGAAGCTCATAAAACATCAGCATAAAATAACACAAACAAAAAAAAACGAGAAATGTACGGCACCAGTTATTGGATAAAAATAAATATTTGGAAATAAGAGTAAAAAATAAAAAATAAAATAAAATAAATGTGCAAAATTTTAGAGACAGCAGAAATTATGCAAAACTGGTTCAGAATACTTCAATAAAAACAAACATAAAAGGCGGAAAGCAAAACAAACGATTAAAGCAGGCGAAAAAAAAAGAATAAAATAGACCACCTCCCCAGCTACCGTCAGAAGAGAGACATTGTTAACGAAGTGTTATGTACAAGTGGTTGAGAAGTAACTGCAAAGGCAACAACAACAATCGCTATTAAATTGCTCACGGTGGCTTTTCAATCGCCATTTTGGCATTTAAAAAATAGTCACCCACAAAAAATTGCGAAGAAAAAATTTTAACGTTTAAGCGCTCAAGAACAATGCCAAGTACACTTCTAGTTAGTTACACACAAAAACAAATAAATATATGTATGTACATACATATGTATGAATTTCGATACTAACCGGCTTGTTTTTTTTCAATCTTATTTTCGCCACTTTTTGCTTTTAATTACACACACTTCGTATCCTTTGACGCTACACAATACAGTTATCTATAATATATTTCACACAAATAACAACAAAGTTAATTTATTTTCCGTTTTGTCTGCACAAATCTTATAATTTAACGTACATTTATTAAAAACAATGCCCAGCAAATAAATTATATACATATAGTCTTGAAATGTCCGGACATTTGAAAAATATTGAACCGAAAATTGCACAGCTGCGCCCACGTCCAGCCGCAGTTGTCTCACTTCGCTTACTAATTCGGCAACGTTACAGCGGCGCTGCGACAATGCGTCCATGTCCAATTCGAGTGGAACCATACATACATTTCCATACAATGTACACATATGCATATGTACCTTGTAGCAGTATCCAACGTCGAATTGCGCCAAACACAATAGAGCAAGCAACGACCGGCGGCCGGCGGCCGGCTATACACCACAGTGGTAATGAGAGAGAGCATTCGGTCGACTGGGTGGGTAGTGCGCCAGCGCCAACAGCGGGGCTTGATAACGAATATATGTATATAGAAAGAAGTACATACATATGTATGTAGTATAATAATAGTAACTTCGCTAGCTATGCTGTATCACAAGCGACCTCCTCGACCGAGTGCGAAGAGCAACTGCTTGACTGGGTATGACCCAGGTGGAAATTTAACTGAAATTCCTTATAACTGTAACTTGCATATTAGGGTGGCCAAAAGGCTTTTTCCCAGCCTCCCTCTGAAACTGAAGAATATCGAAAATAAGGAAACGCGCATTCTCTTATTTTGAAATCGATTAAAATTTAGCCGTGCCACCAGGGCTCTGAAGTTTTTTTATTATTTACATGGGGAAAATAAAGGTTTTTGTAAACGTCTAAAGTAAATATTTTCGATCGAATATTTTCGATATTCTTTAGCATTGGGGGATGGGAACAGAAAATTTCCGAAATGTCGATTTTTCTGTGCATTTTTGGACCACCCTAATGTACGTACTGCATATATACATGCATATATCGTCTTCGCGGATTTGCAATCTGTTTTTCACGAGTTGCCGCATTGGTTAGCAGTGCGCGCTACCATTCCGCAGGGGCTGGATTCAAAATATTTTTCTAATAGCGGTCGCCCCTCGGCAGGCAATGGCAAACCTCCCAGTGTATTTCTGCCATGAAAAACAGCTTTTCACAAAAATATTACAATCGCCGTTCGGAGTCGGCGTAAAACTGTAGGTCCCTCCTCTTTGTGTGACAACATCAAGGCGCACGCCACAAATCGGAGGAGAACCTCAGCCAAGCACTAACATACTATTTGTAAGCGCCAAACTTTAAGTGTTCCAGTTTTACCATCAACAGCCAATCCAACTGAATTTAACCTTAATTTTTAGGCTAGAACTCGGAAGGATTCTCCGATCTAAAAGTCTGCTCTGCTATATACGAATGGTAGGCACATGCGGATCTTAAAAACTGCTGATTTGTTAAATAGTTCACGCCACGGAGAAGTTGGTAAATAAGTGGACAAAAAAGGAGCCACTGCGTAGACCGGTACGGGGGCCGAGAGGCACATAGACAAAGGCATAGACAAGGATATAGACAAAGACAAAGATAAAGGCAGGAATAAAAACAAAGGCAAAGACGCAGTCAAAGCCAACGACAACGTCTAAGAGAAATATAACAAGTAATCTCTAAGCAAAAAACAAAACCGACTTCAATTCTTATATAAAAATTTAATATTATCGTTAATTTCTTCATGATCCAATGATGTGATTTAAACCAAATTAGTATGGGACCACCTGAGAGGTAACACCTTTCCTTTAAAAAAAGAACGGTTACAAAAGTTATGCGATGACATACATTAAAAAAAAATATATATTCCGAGGAATTGATAACCTTCTCCTTTTTGTGAAGTCGGTTAAAAATAAATACATACAAATATTAAGGAGAAGATGGAAATGAAAGTCAAGGTAAATATATATTATAATGGAGCTTAAGATGAATATGAAGACGAAGATGAAGATGAAGGAAGACGATTAGAGACGAAGATGAAGCCCAGGGTGAGGTTAAGATGGAAATGAAGGTGAGAATTGTGATGAAGATGAAGAGGAAGGAGAAGGGAAAGTGGCAAATGAAGGTAAAGATACAGGTATTAAAGATAAAAATACAGATAGAGATAAAGATGAATGTAAAAATAAGGGCAAAGATAAATAAAGAGATAAGAATTTAGATGGAGATTAAGACCCAAACCTTTTTGTTGTTTTTTTTTTTAATGATAGCCAGGGTACAGGGCCATATTGCCAGATCGGTTCATAAATTGCTGTAGTCAGCAGTCATGTCACTGTCAAAGTTGTTCATGTCGAATAAAAACAAAGCAAGACAAAAGTTATCAAACTTCAAAAATGCATATACTATATATATATCATGTGCATACATACATATATTTGAGAAATGAAACTTTAATACCCACTTCTTTCAGAAAGCGTGCCATCTTAGACATAATAGGTTAATATCTAGTTAATAAATTTCTTTAAGATCCAAACTTCTTTCTTTCTAGAATTCTTTATGAAGTTTCACTTCCGCGAGTAGGGACTACATGCATTCAGTTTTTTTTGTCTATTTTTGTTCACTACTCTTGTGGATCCTCTATTTTAGATATTCACGCTTTTTGTTTATCGTATTGTGTTGCTTTTGGGGCTATAAAGGATTTTTATATTGAGATGGGCCGAAGTTGGCAGTCTGTGGCGACCAGATTGTTTATGTGGCGTCTGTCTAACCTTTTGTTTATTATTTAGCTACATATGCCAAATCATCGTGACATGTTACACGATTGAGCAACACGTTAAAATGATAAGGCCTTATTATCAAAATATGTAGTGTTCGTTAGTGCAAACACTGCGCCAATTCATCTCATTTAAATATTATCTCATTAAATAATAAGCGAGCCGCTGTTCGTGTGAAAGTACGCATGAAGAATCCGGTCTGTCATGAGCTTAAATGAGAGGATTTTTGGGTCGGTTCCTGGGCCTGTCCTTTACTGTTCCAAGGAGCGTTTAGTAAAGGACCTCATTTTTTGTGAATAAACTGTATATGGGTTGACGCCAATCCACACGAATTCCACCCCACATAAGTTACCGGTTGGTGTGGATTTTATGGTGGAGTCATTGGTTTGAAAACGACGTGTGTAGATGAGGGCAACCCTTATTTTGCTTAAATTGGACGATATGTTCGTGAATAACATACCATTCAAGCAGAATCGCGTAACGTATCACCCAGCAGACGCCTCGATGGATATTCTGCATGAACGTAAGGTTATGCCTTGTAGAGGTGACGTTAATTGCGCTTCAAGACCGTACATTTAGATTTTTTTCTGGTAGGGTCTTCTGGCGTCGTAGATCTTGGCCAATTAAGCTTAAATTTAGCAGGATCTTTGCGGCATACTCATTGAAAAACTCTATGACCGCCGTGAGAAGCTGAGACGGACATTTGAACGGGGATTATCAGAATATTTCTCTACTCTGTTTATAATGAGCAACTATGGTCTAAAGTCCTACGTAGAATTTCGGATAAGTACAACATAATTCTAGTCTCTCCTTTTCTGGAATGCTTGACCGTAATTAGTCTGCTTAGATGTGCTATTGGCTGCAATCAAAATTATCTTCCGGACCGAGAAATATTAAACGAGCTTAACACCAATTCCATCTGGGCTCCTCCGATGTTTCGTTAAAAAAATAGACAGATGTTACAACGATAGACTGGTGCAAAGGTCGGAGCTTAATCTCTCCGTCCCATATTTTATTTTTAACCGACTTCACAAAAAGGAGAAGGGTTATCAATTCTTCGGAATACGTGTTTTTTATTGAAGTCGGCTTTGAATTTTGCTTAAAAATTACTGGTTTTCAAACACTCTTCGATTAGAACCGAAAAATTTAAGCTTACTTGGAATTGCTCATTGTACTAATTCAGGGGTTCCCAGCTAGATTTTACCATTGAATTCTCGTCGATAGCTTTATTGTATAACAAACAGTTTACATGCGACACTTTACAACACATAAGGCCATGCCAGATTAAATTTTAGTTTCGTGTTGGGAGACAGATTTGCTTTGACAATTAAGATGAAATCTACGAAAATTCTCGAAAGCTGTCACATACATAGATCGCTTTTGTTTCAGCGTCAAGCGAACGGATGGCAAAGTTTTATCTAGCACGGAGCAACGGAGCTTTCTGTACTTGGCTTGACGCAGCTGAATATTATTGCAATCATTTGAATCCAATACGTCCAACAATTCGTTGCCTAGGTAAAAGATTGTCGTAAGCACAATTTTGACGATTTCTAGTTCTAGATGAAGTTATATATTTTGAAATAAGGTCTTTCGATTGGTGTTATCAGTTTTTAGATATCTCCTTTAGTTTCCGAGATATTGACTACAATTTTTTCGATAATTTAGTAAAAATTTAGTTAGTGATTCAGTCATATTAAACTAATCAATATCTTAAAAATGTCGTTCTCCATCTTTAGACACCTTTTTTAGTTTCCGAGATACCGAGTAAAAAGTGTCCTTAATTTAGTGGAAATTTTGATCACATTTTGTCGTATTTCATACAAAGTGGCTGCCAAATTATGGACAAATGACGCTTACGACAAAATTTTACTAAAGAAAATCCTTCATAAACTCAAAACTAATTAACACTAAACATTAAAAATTAAATAATTTAAAAAATTTGTGAACTAGTAACACACACTTTCAGAGACTTTGGAGAAAATCTATATTCGCGTTTATGAGAAATTGCATTCCAAACTTCAATCGCGATTTCCCACAACCTGCCGAAATTAACATACGACAATCTTTTATCCAGGCGATGAATTATAAAAATTAGCGATAAAGATTCCGATGTTATTCGTCGAAGAAAAGAAATGTTTAAGTACAAAAAATAACATAAAAACAGATTTGGTTGTTATTAACTCTAACCTCAATTGCATTTCTCCTGGGATACAAAAACTGCTAACCAAAGGCTTGTTTCTACGAGAAGGCATTGATGTTATTGAAGAGATTAATAGTAATTAAGTAATCGACCAGCACAGATCCTTATTATTTGAGAATATCAAGCATAACTTGATTGTCCACTGTAATTTTCAATGCTTGAAATAAAGTGAATAAAAAACCAAAACATTTAACTGTACTTACTTGTTTTTGAGCATATTTACAAGCGATTAAGTAAGCGCTTAAAATTGCTTTTCTCTAGTTTATTTTTGTGAATTGCTAAAGACAACAGACGA